GAGGGCAGTGCTGGGGACAGTGAGGGTGGGAGGGCAGTGTTGGGGACAGTGAGGGTGGGAGGGCAGTGCTGGGGACAGTCAGGGTGGGAGGGCAGTGCTGGGGACAGTCAGGGTGGGAGGGCAGTGCTGGGGACAGTGAGGGTGGGAGGGCAGTGTTGGGGACAGTGAGGGTGGGAGGGCAGTGCTGGGGACAGTGAGGGTGGGAGGGCAGTGTTGGGGACAGTGAGGGTGGGAGGGCAGTGCTGGGGACAGTGAGGGTGGGAGGGCAGTGTTGGGGACAGTGAGGGTGGGAGGGCAGTGTTGGGGACAGTGAGGGTGGGAGGGCAGTGTTGGGGACAGTGAGGGTGGGAGGGCAGTGCTGGGGACAGTGAGGGTGGGAGGGCAGTGTTGGGGACAGTGAGGGTGGGAGGGCAGTGCTGGGGACAGTGAGGGTGGGAGGGCAGTGCTGGGGACAGTGAGGGTGGGAGGGCAGTGCTGGGGACAGTGAGGGTGGGAGGCCAGTGTTGGGGACAGTGAGGGTGGGAGGGCAGTGTGTGTGGAGGCTGTGACAAGCCTCCACACACTAAAATACCTTGTATTGCAATATAGTTCCCTGGTGGTCCAGTGGTTGAAGTCCCTGGTGGTCCGGTGGGATGACTTCGGTCTGCAGCTCCGCGAGAGCTGCAGACCTTGTTCTCGCGAGCGCCTGTCAGAGCGTTGCCGTGGTAACCCGCGGCAACGCTCTGTGTGCTCGCGAGAACCTTATTACATGATCTGCAGCTCTGCACTCGGCGGAGCTGCAGATCAGAGGCTGGCTCTCCCTGTGGGCAGACCATGTGGAGGGGCCACCCGGCGGCATACTGGGCAAGCCGCCGGGCCCCCTCTCACTGTCGGGTCCTCGGTCATTGACCGAGGACCCGACAGTTCAGTCTGCCTCAAGGCGATTTAGGCGGCCGCGAGGCCCCAGCAAGCGCGAGGCCTTAGGCGGCCGCCTAAATCGCCTAATTAGAGAGCCGCCTCTGTGAATAACAGTTCAAAGACCCCTCACAGCACATATAATTGTATGAAGGAAAACCTGGCACATGACTATCAGCATACATTGTTTCATGACTATATGCGCATATATTGCAAAACGACTATACAAACATACATTGTGATAACTACACCCGTATACATTGTAATATGGATACACATAAATGTTGGCACTATACAAATGCCAATAATAATAATAATAATAATAGCAGCTCCATTTTGTGCCACAAAGAAATCACAAAGTGACAGACGTACAGTTAGGAAACGACTGTAACACGCTAGTTGGGTCATAACCTGAAAGAGGGACATAGATAGGTAGACAATATGTCCAGTAGCACAACATCAGTATGAATATAGATTTTAGAACATCTAAAATAAATCATCTTTTGACACCCA